TTATTTTATTTTTAGTTGCTTTTATTTTGCATATTTTGGCTAACCCTATATTATTACTTGTGTTAGTATTCCCTCATACTTTTAAGCTATATTTGCATTATTCCCATCTTGGTAAAGTAACAAATTCTTTTGCAACGTCTAAGATCTATTTTGACTATGGATATATGCTTGGAGGTCCAAGATGTGAAATTTGTCACAGTGTATAGGGCAATGCTTGTATTCATCCATTGATACCTCAATGTCAAAACTTCTTTGGTTTAGACAATATTTGAAATGTCGAAACAAGCACTGGACAATTTCGATGAAAGTTACATGCTCGCGAGAGATTATATACCTAATGATTGGACGGGGACATCCAACTTTCAGGAGATGACCCTCCATTTTTGAACAAAAAGGTACTTGCAAAATATTACAATGAACTTGTCAAGTTGAACGAAGAAGATATGCTTGTGGGAGATTACAAATATTGGGATGAATTTCAAAACTAAGGGTATAATCCACTCAACTGGGTTAATAGGAAAGACTTGACATTGCCATAGAGTTTGATGGTGGACCGATCATTCAATCCGATGAAATATCAGCCATTGAAGAAGAGCTTGAAGAGAATGAAAAATCAATCAAAACGGAGCTAAACGAAGATGTGGCAATCAATGAGGAAAAAATCGACTTACATGCTTTTGACTTGGTTGATTGCCAAAATATTGATTTTGTGATTAAATTTGATGAGAAACTAGAAATCTTCGTAGTTGAATTTGAATTGGATGTAATAGGCAAGTCATATTATATGGAAAGGGACAATGTTGAGTTTTGAAGATCTAATAAAGAGTGGAGCAAAGCCAAAAGAAAAAAAAATGGGCAAGGCATCTAAAGCTTTCTTTATGTACCCATGATTCAAAAGTCAAAATCAAGCTAAAGACTATAAAAAAGCGCTTGTTGGGAGGTAACCCAACTTTTAAATTTTTTAATATTTTTTATTTAATTTTATACATTTTCTTATTTTTATTTAATTAGCTACCATTTTTTGTAGATAATTTTTGAAATCCTACATATCTATAGTTTCTCACAAGATTGGGGGTAAATTGGTGTACAAGAAAGTCACTAGCCCAAGAGCATCACAAGTCCAATTCAAGCATTGATGCCTCTTCACAAATATACAACAGGGAAAGTTTCATAATCCCCTATTCTTTTTATCTTGTTCTTTACACATTGAAGATAATGTATAATTTAAATTTGGGGTGATTGTGCTTAAATTTGTGATGTTGTGTTGACATGTTATACAGTTTTGCCAGCTTAGGATTGCTTGATATTTGAAATTTTTATTGATTCATGATCTATACATGACAAAATATGCTATTTTTGCCTAATTTTTTCAAAAAATTGTTTATCCATTGTAAGATCCCGAGTTACTTTGAACACAATAGTCATGATTAATTGTTACCTAAATGTTAAAAACTTTGATTGATGGAGAAACTTTTGAATTGGTAAAATTAAGTTGTGAGTTGTTTGAAAATTTATATCAACCTATATCTATTTCTCTTTCACTCAACCATATTATGAGATAAGTTTGAGGGTGGTCGAGCTGATGAAAGATATTTTCTTGAAGTGTGTTGATTCTATGCATGTTGAAAATATTTGTGTAGGGTGTCTTTTGCCAAATATAAGCTAGGTAATGACTATATGCTAGGGATCTAAGTTCCATTTTTGTTGTGCTTAAAAAGATGTTATTGTACTTGTTGAATCCTAGGTCTCACTTCGTAGCCTTTTCTACTCTAGTTATTAAGTTCGTAGGGGTATCTCAAAACCCGGTACCCTTTGGCCTAAACAACCAGGGAGTTATCGACATAAAACTCACTACAAGGGTCAAGAAGAAAGCTTAAGGGAGCAAGATAAAATATGAAATTTGCTAGAAAAAAAAAAGAAAAAAAATTATTTTTGCAATTGTATATGATAATTGGGCTTAGATAACTAGTGGATTTGAATTGTTTAGTATAAGTTTGAACGTGGAAGCACTTATTAGTGGAGAATCATTATATGACTAGATGCTGAGATTGCCGATTAGACCCAACCAAACTAGAGCGGAAAAAGAAAAGAGTGATTGAGAGCAAACTTTAGATTTTCACCCAGGAGAAGAAAAGAAACATCTATTTGAGGAGTGTAAATCTCACAAATAGAAAAGGAAATATTTGACCACAAAGGATTGGGCTTGAACCAATTTGAAGATTTTTCCGTCATGACAACTTTTTCCTAATTTAGATAATGATTGAAAATAACTATGCACATACATACACCGATCAAACATTGGATAAGCTTAAATCATTTTTGTTAGCATTACTTGGAGCATATTTGTGAATTGATTGGAAAATTTTACATTCATGAATATTTTGCAAGCTATCTAATGTGTTGGTCATTAGCACGTGTTGCTTAATTGTGTGGTAGATAATTTTGTGAAACTTAAGTTTGGGGGTATTTGATAAGTGTGTTTTTACACACTTATTTAATATCTAAATATGTTTATTATTGATGAAATGGGAGGAATTCTACTCACAATTAGATAACATTTGCTTTTGTAGACCAAAAATTATCAATGGAATAAGAACAAGGCAAAATAAGGAGAAATGATTAAAATTGTGCAAAAACGTGAAGCTAGGGACCAAAATGAACAAGTGCTAAAAGCTAGAGGATCTGGACTGCAATTTATATAGGGCAAAATAAATTGCTATAAAGTCAAAATATGATGACCAAATTGTACAAGATGAAAGTTGAGTGACCGAACATAAAATTACCTCAAGGACTTAGCTGTAAAATGACAAAAAATCCATTTTTTGGCTGTAGAACAGAGCGTGGCCATCTAGACGCCATTTATACGCGCTATATTTAATTCAAAAAAGGGATTTAGGGACCTTCCTGCCTTTTGTCCAAACTTCAAGGGACTTGAGCTACAATTTATTATTGGGGGTTTTAAATGGAATTGGGCATTGGCTGGCAGAATCCGTCTTCTTCCTCTTTTATTTTCTTTCATTTTATTTTTCTTTCTTTTTCTCATCTTTTTCTTGACATTTTCGGAGGAAAATCAATAACACGGCAAAGGAGATTCAATCAAGGAGTGGAAAAGTTTTGGGAAAAATCAAGAACAATGGTTTCATTATTTTCAAAAATCAACCAAAGGGGTTTTCATCTCTTCTCTTGTATTTAATCAATTTTTTCTCCAATTTTGTAATGAATGTTTTGAATACTCTCATTTGTTATCATTTATATCACATGGGCTAAATATTTGTGTTGAAATTTATGGTAATAGTTTAACCTAACTTTAATTAATTTTAATATTAGCTTTTTAATATTAAAATGTTTATTTCATGTGTTTTTACTATTGTTATTTTTGCATTTCATTTATGTGGCCAACGAATAGTAATTTGTACATCGTTCAATAGAAGATTGCGCATTTTAAATCAAATAGTAGAAATCCTAAGTTTGTATAGGGGATAGAAATATACCCTTAATCCTTGGTGACCCAATGAGCTATTTTAACAAGTCGTTTGACTTTAATCGACATAGAGATATAGTAGGTTAAACCAATCAATTTGAATTAATTTCGCTCAAGAGAGATAATTAACTAAAATTAGAATATCGGATCTAACATCGTAAATGAGTAATTTTTTAATTGGCTTGTAGAGAAATTAATTAGGTGACAGTTAAGCGAAACTATGAATCCCAACCACGTTTGCTTTCGAAATTTCCAAAATTTTTATATTTTTATATTTTGTAGATTTTTAGTTATTTTTCAAAATCAAATATTTATTGTGTGCTTGTTTTTATTGTTAAAATTAAGCGCTTATTTGGTAGGGATGTTAAGCCAATTAAAATCAATTTTTTTACTGTTATTTCGCAATTTCAGCCGTCATTTTTGAATTCTTCTTTCACAGGTAAGACCCACTTTATCTCTAACGGTCAAAAAATCAATTAACAAAATCTCCACCAAACAAGCTCTTAATTAATTAAAGTTGTGTGATAGAAAACAAACATTCCTCAAGGGATTGACGATTCAGACTCAAAAGGTCCACAATATTACTTGAACACGATCCGTGCACCTACAGTTTATAATTTTAGCGAACAAAAAGGTAGGGTATTGGCTCTCCTTAAAAGGTCACCAAATCTGCCCATTTCTGTTTCCGACAGATCTGATTTCGTTCATTTCCTATCTAACATCGTCATTTTTGAATTCTTCTTTCACAGGTAGGACCCACTTTATCTCTAACGGTCAAAAAATCAATTAACAAAATCTCCACCAAACAAGCTCTTAATTAATTAAAGTCGTGTGATAGAAAACAAACATTCCTCAAGGGATTGACGATTCAGACTCAAAAGGTCCACAATATTACTTGAACACGATCCGTGCACCTACAGTTTATAATTTTAGCGAACAAAAAGGAAGGGTATTGGCTCTCCTTAAAAGGTCACCAAATCTGCCCATTTCTGTTTCCGACAGATCTGATTTCGTTCATTTCCTATCTAACAGTTAAGATGAATTTCACCACTAGACACTTGCACGAAGCTCAGATCTAAGTATGTATTCCGTACGTGCGGGGTCAAGTGACGTGTTTGTGGGGCCAAGAGAAATTTCTTAGTGCGGTGTTTGTGATAGCATGGGAGCGCAAATAGCAAAACTTCCGCTTCCAAGTAACAAATGAAATGATATGACATGGTCCAATCTCAATAGTAGGAAAGTGTGGACACATGTAAGTCCAAACATTTCAATATGCCTATATGGAATAATGCTATGCAGCCATATTGGTGTTACAACCCTTTTCTAGATAGCGTTAGATGATTGGTTGAATGAAAGGTGAAATTAAATGACTTGTTTAATTCCATCTATCATTTAATATCACATTAATGTCATCTAAACTGAAGTTGTAACCCAGTGGGTCTAAATAGTATTACTCGTCTATATGACATCTAAGACTCTCACGTTGACATTTGTGTGTAATGGAAGAGTGGGTTATACTTGGATATGATTCTCATTTCAGAAGGATTGAATCGAACAATTAAGTTGTTTGTACAGCCAAGTTTGACAATATGTTTGACAGAATTTTGAAATTGGGTGAGCTAGCAAAATTTTGGGCGAGCTGGTAAGGATAAAAATAATAAAAATTAAAGACGCGCAAAAAAATGAACCGGGAACCAGGGGGGGCAAGAAAGAAGAACCTGCGTGCTTTTTCCCAAAATTCATACCATATTCTTCGGACTGCACGGTGAGCTTAATTGAATGGTGAAACCCTCAACTAAGTATATAGCCTAGTTGTAATTTGGTAACGTCGATCATCATCTCTGCAACATCATCTTCATCTTCTTCAATTGTGGCTTTGTTTGACTGGCCTATTCAGTTTACTTGTCGTCGAAAAGGTTGCAAGACATAATCCAAATGTCCATCTTCCTTTAGTCTGGCTTCCAACTTCTTCCAATGGACCTTCGAGCTTGCGGGAACCAGGGGGGCAAGAAAGAAGAACCCGCGTGCTTTTTCCCAAAATTCATACCATATTCTTCGGACTGCACGGTGAGCTTAATTGAATGGTGAAACCCTCAACTAAGTATATAGCCTAGTTGTAATTTGGCAACGTCGATCATCATCTCTGCAACATCATCTTCATCTTCTTCAATTGTGGCTTTGTTTGACTGGCCTATTCAGTTTACTTGTCGTCGAAAAGGTTGCAAGACATAATCCAAATGTCCATCTTCCTTTAGTCTGGCTTCCAACTTCTTCCAATGGACCTTCGAGCTTCGTCTTCATTTTTAAGTCATACTCTATCTGAACTTGAAGCTATCTGTCTTCCTTCAGTCCGACTTTACTCAAGCTTCTGAACGTATCATCCAGCTTCTTTCAGTGCAGCATCAAGCTTCGTCTGACCAGCCCAACTTCTTGCTCCAGCTAGTGTAAACCTATAACCCGACCCATTACAAGGTATTAGCACTTTGGTTTACAACATTATTTAAATTTCTGGAATTTGTATAATATGGAAATTTCTGGAATTCGTATGTTATGGAATTTCTGGAATTTATATGATATGGAATATCTGGAATTTGCATCACCCAAAATATGAATGCACCCATTTATGAAACCATGCATTTTTCTATTTTTTCGTCAAATCTGGAGATAGTAATTTGTTTCGGTGTGTAGTTGTGCGATGTTCACATTTTGTTGATCTTGAATGATTTTATTTTTCATAGTCGAAGAAATCATGGATGACATGGATAATTATATTTTGGTAGAATCACACAACGAGAACATGGAAGACGATATGAACCAACTGGAAGATGAAATGGTAGAAGGAAATGGTAGTAGTGTGCCCAAGGTCGGAATGACGTTCAAGAATGAGAACGAATTGTATGATTTCTACAAGGCATATGCCTATACTGTTGGTTTTCCATTTAGGAAACAGAATTTCGAAAAGGATGACAATGGAATGTTGAAATATCTGACTTTGACATGTAGTCGGGAAGGCAACAAAAGTGGTACTACAAGCGGCTCTTTGAAGCCTCAACCGACAATTCAAATGAGATGTAACGCTAGAATATGTGCATCTTTAGATATTCATGGCTCTTGGAGAATCGACACAATCTGTCTATAGCATAATCATAGAATAAGTCCGACGAAATTGAGGTTGTATCGTTGCAATCGGGAACTGAGTGTGCATGTTAAAAGGAAGCTAGAAGTGAATGATCTAGCTGGCATTCCATTGCATAAATCCTACAACTCGACAGTGGTGGAGGCAAGTGGTTATGAGAACATGACTTGCATAGAAAAAGATTGTCATAACTATATTGAGCAAGTTAGGCGACTACGATTTGAAGTAGGTGACGTCGCATCAATACAAAACTACAACGCAGTTAAGATGCTTAGGTTTTTACTTCAGCATTAATTTGGATGATGACTCGCGTCTTAGGAATGTATTTTGGACAGACAATCGGTCCAGGCAGGCATTTAAGGAGTTTGGGGACGTTGTTACATTTGATACCACCTACCTGACCAATAAGTATGACATGCCATTTGCCCCTTTGTGGGCATAAATCATCATGGACAATCGATATTGCTGGGTTGTGGTTTGGTGTCGAATGAGAATACAGGTACTTTCGTGTGGCTTTGCACAGAATGGCTTAAGTGTATGCACGGTCAAGCTCCAAAAGGAATTATTACTAATCAGGATAGGATAATGTAGAATGCAATCCAGATCGTATTTCCAAATACGAAGCACAGATGGTGCTTATGGTATTTATTGAAGAAATTGCCTGAGAAGTTCGACTACCACGTAGACAAGGATTCGATATTTGCGACTATTCATACATTAGTTTATGATTCCCAAACTGTTGATGAATTTGAAGGAGGTTGGATAGCAATGATCGAGTCACATGGGTTGCATGATAATACTTGGTTGTCAGGCCTTTACGATAATAGAGGTCGTTGGGTCCCTTATTTTTTGAAAACCACATTTTGGGCAGGGATGTCAACGACGCAAAGGAGTGAGAGCATGAATGCATTTTTTTATGGATACGTTCATTCAAAGACATCTTTGAAACAGTTTGTTGAACAGTATGAACGGGCACTACGGAATAAGGTTGAAAAGGAGTTCCAGGCCAATTTTAAATCGTTTTCACAAATGGTGCCGTGTACGACAACCTATAATATAGAAAGGCAGTTTCAGTCAATATATACCATTTCAAAATTTAGAGAAGTTCAAGCTGAGTTCACAGGGAAAGTTTATTGCGATATCATAACTTCCTCAGAATCACATCTTGGGATGACGTACTGTATACCAGAAGATGTTGTATACGAACAGCGTCGAAAGAAGAAATCGTTCGAAGTTACATTTCGATCTGAGGACAGGGAAATTAGTTGCAGTTGCCACTTGTTTGAGTCTAGAGGAATAGTATGCATGCATGCCCTCACTATATTGATTCGTAATGATGTAACATCACTTCCCGAGCGGTACATTTTTCGATGATGGAGAAGAGATGTTAGTAGAGCACATTCGAGGGTCGCAGTCAATTATGATGGGTTGGTGAGCTTTGCTGGACAGTTAAGATATGATAGTATGTGCCAGGATTTTGCCACGTTGGCAGATCTTGCTGCAGATGATGAAGCTCAAACTGTGCCATAATAGAATGAATTAGACTGCAGCCTAAGGAGTTCGTGATTACGAAGTCAATCTATGGAAGTAATTCTATTTCACATTGAAACAATGAGGTAGCCACTATGCATATTGATTTCGAAAATAATACGAACCATAACGTATTCGATCTACACAGTCTCGAATAAAGGATGCACCCAAAAAACTTCGACGAAAAGGACCTTTAGAGTCATCTTCGAAGAAGGTATAGATGTCTCGAAAGTTTTGCAATTTTTTGAAAATTATTGCATTCACAAAGTGTCATTTATTGTGACATACATGCAGTCAAGTTCGACTTCAGTCAAACAAAAGAGGTCGACATCAAAGCGTAGTAGTACAAGTATGGGGGAACCCAAACTGGAGCCAAGCTCTGCAGAAAACCAATATTCCCCATCTCCCCAAGTCACATTATCACAATTTTCAGTTTCGACAACCTTCTCATTACCAGAACTTGGCATGCTAACATCATTCTCATATGTGCAATGCTTACAATCTTCCAGGTTGATGAATTCCTTGTCAACAAATTACTTGTACAATTTGTAAGGTAGGTTCCCATTGATTGTATTTTTATAATTCATTTATGTCATTTGAAGCATGCACTTATGGAAGTTAAATTTGTATTATAGGCCATGCTTTTTCGTACTATTATCCACATTTGTCGGACCAAGGTGACCCAGGTTTTTTATGTTCATCGAACAACCCATGTAGTTGATGCAGTAAGTTACTTTTGCTTATTTCAAACCTCACAAAAAGGATTACATAGGTGGTTGTTTATGTATGTATTTCACTCATTTACAGCTTGGCAGCGGAGCCCACTTCACCCTTTCGAATGTTAAAGGCAATTCAGTCGTATGGTGGATATTACATAGGTGGTTGCTTATGTATGTCTTTCACTCATCTACATCTTTCATAAATGTATGACACCAACTTTTTGTTCAAGATGTGAGTTTTTGAGCTTTATATCCATAAACATAAACATAATTTCTGATGGAAGCTTTATGTGTATGTTGATTTTGTTTGTAGGCAAGAGTGCTCCATGCAGGACTAGGACTGGGCACCATAAGTTGGCCAATAGAAAGAAAATTGAGAGGGTAACTATTAAAAGGAAATTTGGATGTACACAATGACTTGTTTGCAAGAGCATCCAACCATGGGAAGGCTGAAGTGAAACTTGATGCTCATGAAAAAATTATGAAATTTTCATTTATAGGTCTTAGACTGTCGTTTAATTGGAAATTATACTTATTCCCTTTGACATTTTGAATAGAAAAGTGCTTCATTATCAAACTATTTAAACCAGGTGGTGAATTTCCTTACTTTCAGTAGAAGAGTTTCTAATTGAAATTTCAGTTGCATATTTACTCATTCGCCCATTTTAAATGGTTGTTAGATTTTTTTTCCCTTTTTTCCACATCATGTTGGTGTTTGTAATCAAATTTAGTGGTCTAGTTTACAATTAAGCAATTTGTTGTGAGCCTTGTGCCAATTCTATTCTTTCATTCCAAGCTCGTTGTCGTGTTGGTGCCTTTTGCTGCTTCATGTATTTTTAAGAAACAAGTGCTTAGCCACACCTTACTTGGTCATTTTGAGGTGCACGTGACTTCCCTTTCAATAGCTATTTTTAATTTTGGTTGTTTTGATGGGCAGGGTGTTTATGTTTGCCTAATTTAGAAAAATCACATCAACTAAGCACCTAGGTTCTAGAGTTTCTATGGTGATTAATTGTGTGCAAATGGACAATATGCTTTTCGTCATTGGAAAATATGGAAAATACATAAGTGCTTTTTCAAATGTATCATTGAAGAAGTTGAAAGTTCGAATATTTCTGAACTATTTTTCCTTAAATTTTCACCTTGATGTTTCAAGCGCTGTGATACTTTTTAATAGCAAATTAATGGTATCCATAACCACAATTTTCACTCATTTACAGCTTGGCAGCGGAGCCCACTTCACCCATTCGAATGTTAAGGGCAATTCAATCGTATGGTGGATATTATGTGGCTTATCTACATTCAGTGGTAGTAGTGCCCCCTTTTATTTTGAAGCTTCCATTGTAATCATTTTGACATAGCTTTTGAACACTTACATAACAATGGCTGGAAAACAACATATTTTTTATCACATGTATTTTGACATTACGTAATGGGGAATTCATTTTTATGTAATTCCTATTTGTTTAATGTATATCATTTTGCAGTGTTGTCTACATTTTGTTCTCACAGTGTTGAAATGAGTTTGTTATAGTGTACATGCAGTCAGGTATTGCGATTCACTATCATCATAATTTTTTTTTCAACTTCAAATGCATCCATTATCCAATTCCATAAAGCACATAAAGGGGGAAAGCTACTGAAATGTATAGAAGAGGACCGATTTGCTCATTTCTCAATTTACAGGATTACAATTGGACAGATATCAACATTTGGAATCCACAATCTATAATTTGTAATTGTTAGCAACTCTAAAGATGGTGAAGAGAGATAGGAAGAGGCTAATAATATGTAGACATTAGCATAAAGAAAATGATTTTCAGTTACATTGGTTTCATCCATAGAAGTTACATAGGTTACATTGGTTTCATCGGTTTCATCCATAACCAGCTACCAACTACATAGTTTGATGAACCGAACCAAAAAACAATCCTTACATAAGTTAATAAATAAAAGTTCAACAAATTGACTACCAATCAAGTCGGCCCCTTTCCTTTTCCAATCCCTTCTGCACTGCCCATTTCCCTGCGAATCGTCACCTTCACAGATATCTCGAAGTCCACTTCTTCAATTAGCCAAACATGAGATTCGAACCTACGGGACAAATCTTCAGCTGTCACCAAGGTAAGGCTAGCATTAGTGGATTCGCCGCTAGTCTGTCCTTCTACGACCCAGGCCCAGTAGCCACATTTATTACTGCAACATTTGAATAATCTCCCTCTATAAGGAGTCAATTTTTCCACCTCAAAACACTTTTGAAATCTGTTCTTACACAACGGACATTGTCGTTTAATTGGACATTCAACGAAGAAGTGCCCGTTGCCTCTACAGCTATGGCAAATTCCAGAATTCTTCCCCACCATTGTAGCATATAATTGAACCATACAGAAAACAATGTTAAAATCCTTCCTATTATGCCACAGATTAAGCAAGCAAGCAACGAAATGCTCAAACTTCTAACATTCCCACCAATTCAAAATGCCAGCCATCAGAGAAAACGATCACCCAAAAATACAGAGCTCAAATAAGATTCCAGTATTTCAATGTAGCCACCCTTCCAAAAAAATTAAAAAAAAATTGCAACCACAACAACATTGCTTACTCTGAAGCGACGCATATGAATCTCGTGTTCGCAAGTAGACAATGATTGTGGTTCGGACTGCATGGTGGCCGGAAGTTTGCAGCGCCCAACTTCTTCACAAATCCACGAATTCGGACCAATGGAAGCGGAGAAGTTTTCAAAAACGTGGTCTCTATTTTATGGGTACACAGAGTGGCGTTGCTTTCTTCTTCAGCTAGGTGACGCCGACCGGAGGTAGTGACGACAATCGGCGTGTCAGAGTAGAGAGTCGTGCTTTCTTGGGCAAAATTTTGGGGGAAATGGGAGAGAGACGGGTGAGAAATGGGGCAATTGTGTTTTTAAACCGTCAATTAATGCTTTTTTTAAAAAAAAAATTAATGCTTAAAAAGAAAAGCCACGTTAACCTGTTAAAACTCTTGTCAACACCTCCTGTACAAGTAGGGTGATTGTTGAATCAAAACATAAATCAACAATTTATTTATTTATTAATAAAAGATATATATGAAACCAAAACCAAATCATTTGATTCTGGTTTAATTTTGTTATTTTCCATTACTTGAAATTCAAATGATAAATGCAAATTAAAACTTATCATCATATCCATAAATTTATAATATATGCATAAATAAATATTAAACATTCAAAAATTTCAAATTATCAATCATCAAATAAATATTATGTAAAAAAAATGTATTTACAAAAGTTTTAACTAACAAATAAAACATAATCATAATTTGAATATACAAAAATCTAGTTTCATCCCCATAGAAAAATATTGTCTAATAACAATGATCTACTAATGCAGACTAATGAGCCATCGACAAAAATTAATAATATCAAGTTCTATCTTCATGCTCTGTCTAATCAATTCGTTTGCATCAATTAGAATTTAGATATATGACTTGACCGCATTGTGTGATAAGTGGTACAATAAAATGCTAAAATTTAATGGTATATGACCTTTTGTCCATTCCACGTGTAATTTTCAAATTCAAATTTTTTTTTTTTTGTGTAATTCACTTATTCGTAAAATAAAATAAAGTAGTAGTAGTAGTAGTAGTAGTAGTAATAATAATACTAATAATAATAATAATAATAATTTCAACACTTTTTTTGACACCTCATCAATTTGTAAAAATTTCCATATTTCCTTACGTATAAGTAGTATTATTCAAAAAATAAAAATTGAGTTCAATTCTCGATTTTGGTTCTTAGTTCTAGAACCAGAACTAAAACCAATTGGTTCTCGGTTTTAAGAGTCAAAATCATTAATTTTTTTTATTTTTTATTTTTTATTTTTTTTGTAGAATTGAACTAAACCAAATTACTCAATTTGATTTGATTCTAATTTGGTCTGATCATTTTGTCCACCCCTAAATTAGTGAGAGGAGAAAGAATATAGGTAAATTGTTGTAAATCGGGCCCGCCTGATCGATAGGCTTGGTGAATTGACAATTCAACCCCTAATCGAGTTGAGTAGAATTATATTAGAGGAATGCAAGTGACCCGATTTTTAACTCTCTTGTTTTTGGTAAGATCATCAACTCGATCCAGCCTGGTTGATTGGATAAAATTTTAGTTTGAAAATTTATAGTCATATTCAACCATTGAAGTCAAATATTCATATTCTATCTTTAAAAATATTTTTACGATTTTGATATGTTACTTATATATAGTTGGCTTTTTTTACAAGCCGAATTATTACTAAAATATAAAATAATTGTATAGGCACAATTATTGTATTTATTTTCTCCTTATTAGTTAATTAAATAAAATACTCCATTCATATACAAATTAATTCTCCGCCTTCTATATTGTTGTTTGATTGCGATCATATACTTAATATTGTATCATAAATATTACCTCTATTCGTCTTATTTTCAAACAACAACTGTTATTTGGACGATCTCTGCAATAAGTTGTTTGTTTGGGTCTTGCAATTGAAGACTTGCTGAGCTTGTTATCATTTTTGGGCTAAATATTAGGATTTTATACTTAGGTGGGCCGTAGGAATTTCTTTCTCTTGGACCTTTTGGTTTATGTTGTGGGCTGTTTTGGCAATCTTTTGAAATTCTACTACCTTGCTTCCTTTTGGCTTTCCTTTGTTGGCATCCCCTTGCGTTGGTGTTTTTCCCTTATTTTGTTTTTCGAGTATGTTGGAACAAAAATCATGTCTTGACAGATTGGACTACTTGAACCGGTTTGTTTGTTTCGTTATTTGAGATTTTTATGGCTAGTTTTGAAAGTTATAAGAAAGTTGTGTCCCAGCAGTTTGAAATTTGAAATTTGTTTGGTTTTGGTTCCAAGCGTTATGGAATTTATTTGGTTTTGCACCTTCTTGATGATATGGATTATGGAATTGGTATGAAAGTAGGTATTTGGTTTTGGTTATTCATATATGTTTTGTTAGGTGTTTTGGCTTCCTCAATGAAGTTGTAGACATGCGGTATTTTCGGTAGTCCTCATATTGTTTAGCTACTTTGATAATGTAAAGTTACGCTCATGGATATGTGATCTGTCTAAGTCATACATGAAGCAGTAATGCCAAGTAACTCTACCCCTAATGAGTTCGACGAATGGACCTTAACAAGATTGATGTTTGATTATTTGATGTTCAACAAATCGCATGAAATGCATGGAGGCGTTGTTTCAATTTCTTCTTGGCAAACTCGATGCTTACATCATAAGTTTGTTGTGGGTGTTAGATATAATAATTGCAATCTAATTTCTTTATGAAGGGTTACATTATACAGTTTTACGTTTTATAAATAGTCAAGTTTATAATCGTTTCATAATTTTGGATAATTCGACTCGTTTATTTAACATAGCAAAATGCAAAAGAAGAAAATAGATCCGGATTATATTATTTCTGGTCCACATAGTTGGACAAGTTGCAACGCGAAGAAAACATCATAATTTTTTTTGATATAGTATGAGAATTAACACTAAGCTTTTTTCCTTGATGTAGACCTAACTTTTTGCGAGGATTTCCACTACGTGAAGCAAAATCAATATCACTTATGATTGCTTTCTATTCTTTGGGGTCCAAAGTACCCCACGTATCCA